CACATTCCCTTTGTGTTGCCATGCTGTTTTGTGTTGCTCCATCATCCCAAGTGAGCTCCCTCCATTATTTCTGCTTAGGTGAGACACCTTTTCCTGAATCCCAAAGCAATACAGCAATCCAGGACAGAAAGCAAAATCCTGTCTCCCTTGAACCACTTCTGCCAAAACAAAATGCTGCATAGCTTAATGATGCTGAACCCCCAAGGCACATGACCCTCTTTTGGCCAAGTTCCAAATGTTGAGGGATCCACCAATTAGGAGACCCAGAAAGAAACCAACTTGGATCTTATCAAAATTGCATGATTCCTTGTTTCCTTTTTCCCACAATAATGTGTTGGAATGAGAGGAAATTCACTAGCAGGAACCATTGGCAGGAGATTCTCACCCTCCAGTCCTCTTTAATTGAAGATTAAATAAATACTGTATTCATTTATATTTGACAACTCATGAACGGCTGAGGTAACTCTTTTATTAACTGGAACCGACAACCTAACCAATTAACATATACATGCGAACGAACACCTGAGCCCTTCTTGACAGCTCTTATATACTCCCCTGTCAGCTAGGTCAACCAATCATAACACGTTCCCATATTTATTCGTTCCAACAGGGGGCCTAAACATTAGAGTATGCCCAGTACACAACACCCCTTTATCCCTAGAATGCACATGCGTAATCCCGCAGGTGCCCCGGCCAACGGCGGACTCAACTGGAGCGGCGTGGGACTACTGGTTCTGCTTGCTGACCCTGACCTTCGCTTATTTCCTGTGCCGTACCGCGACAGTTACTCCTGGAGTCAGGTAAGTTGTTATTTGGTTCAGAGACATAGCTAGGAGTTTGCCCGTTCTTTGTCTCGGTGGCATACCTAGGGGTCTGTCTCTCTGCAGATGGCCTTTCATTTAACGAGGCTGTATCCCTCTGGCTGCTTGTCATTTGCTGGTCTTGTGGCAGCCGGTCCCCCGACAACTCTTGGAGCAAGGACAGGTGAGCTTGGTTTAGGCGGGCATTGGCTTGTGTCGTAGGGGCCTCATCATCCTGATTAATGTCTGTGTCTACCTCGCGTGGCCCCGTCCCCCTGGCTCTAGGGTCGTGCCTAACCCGTATCTGGTCTAGATGCCACCTCCACATCCGATTTTCCCCCATGTCTATCTTATACGAACATGGGCCGGTAACCTCTGCTATAACCCCAGGAAGCCATAAGGGCTGGCCCGTATAGTTACGGGCATAAACCAAGTCCCCTTCCTCCAGCCTGCCAGTGGCCCGGCTGGAGAGTAACGGAGTACGGTGCGTGTATTCAGGATGTAATCTGTCCAGCACCGTACGCAAACGGCGGCCCATGAGAAGCTCCGCAGGGCTGCGATTGGTCAGGGGACACGGAGTGGAGTGCTGCGTAAGGAGATACTCAGATAATTTCGATTGCCAGTTGCTAGTTCCCATGCGCCCTAACGCCTCTTTCGTTGACCTCACTGCCCTTTCAGCCCGGCCATTACTGGCCGGATGGTAAGGAGAAATAAGGCAATGGCGAATCCCGTACCCTGCAAGGAACACTTCAAACCCCGTGGAGGTCAATTGAGGGCCATTGTCGGACACGAGTTCGTCCGGCAATCCGTGGGTTGCGAACAGAGTGCACAAAACACGGCAGAGTGCCTCTGTGGAGGTGGAGGCCATGACCACCACCTCGACCCATTTGGAAAAAGCATCGACCAGGACCAAGAACATCTGGCTGCGGATGGGCCCCGCAAAATCCACATGCACACAGGACCAGGGTCCCCTCGGTTCTTCCCACTCCCTGGGCACCCCTCTAGGTGGCATTGGCCAGGACTCCTGACACACCCGGCACGTAGAAACCCACGTTGAGATGCAGTCATCCAATTTTGGCCACCAGAGATACGCACGTGCAAGGGCCTTCATCCGGACAATCCCCGGATGGCCCATATGTAACGTTGACAGAACTGAGTCCCGCAGGGAGGCGGGGACTATTACCCTGTGTCCCCAGAGTAGACAGCCCTCTTGAGTAGAAAGCTCAGACTTCCTGAGAGTATACGGTCTCCATTTGGGGCCCAACTCACCACTAGGCCACCCCCTGAGAACCCATTTCAGAACCGTGGACAACTCTTTATCCCTAGTGGACGCCGAAGGAATGTCCGCTGCAGTGACAGGCAGGGGGGAGTCATCAATCAGGAGGACGGATAACACCGGGGCTGGGTCACAGAGGAGCAATTTAAGGGGGCAGCGACACAGAGCGTCTGCATTTGCCAGATGTTTTCCAGGCACGTATGTAAGGGAATAGGAATAAGCAGATAGGAAAACAGACCAACGGGTAAGCCTAGGCGATAGGAACTGTGGAGATTGACGATCCCCGGCCAACAACCCTAACAGGGGTTTATGGTCCGTCAGAATGGAGAAATGCCGGCCATATAAGTAATCGTGAAACCTCTTAACCCCTGCGATAATGGCTAATGCCTCCTTGTCTGATTGGGAATAGTTCCTCTCCACAGGGGCTAAGGTGCGGGAATAGAAGGCAATAGGAGCCTCACGGCCATCAGGGAAGGTATGACTTAACACTGCGCCCACCCCATAGGGAGAGGCGTCGCATGCAAGAACCAAGGGGAGGGTAGCAGAATATTGAACAAGAACAGCATTAGACACAAGTAAACGCTTAACAGCGGCAAAAGCAGTTTCAGCCCGGGTATCCCACACCCACTTAGCCCCATGGTCCAGCAACCGGTGTAGGGGCTCAGCCACAGAAGCCTTATGTGGCAGAAAAACGGCATAGAAGTTTAATAAGCCGAGGAAGGCTTGAAGTTCAGCTTTGGAAGTTGGAGGCGGAGCATCCAGGATGGCCTTAGTCTTCGCGGGGGTTGGGTGGATGCCGTGGCGGTCGATAAGGAATCCGAGGAATTCCACTTGTGACACAGCAACAAGACACTTGTCCTTCTTAACGGTGAGCCCCGCCTGCTTGAAAACTGTGAGGACGCGTCGGAGACGAGACAGTAGTTGAGGGACAGAGGCAGCTGAAACGATGATGTCATCAAAGTAAGGGGCGACCCCTGGGATTCCATAGAGTAAACGCTCTATAAGACTTTGAAAAATCCCAGAGGCGACCGAAACACCGAACTGCAGGCGGCGACAACGAAAAGCCCCACGATGTGTGATGATGGTCTGTGCGTCGGCGGTGAGATCATCCACAGGCAGTTGCTGGTATGCCTGGGATAGATCAAGCTTTGCGAAAACTGACCCCTGGCCCAGGGAATGCAGCAAATGCTGGACTACCGGGACAGGATAGGCATGATCCTGCAGGGCGTGATTAATCGTTGCCTGGTAGTCAGCGCAGATGCGGATGGAGCCGTTGGCTTTAATTGCGATGACAGTGGGGGTTTCCCAACGGGCATAATCTACAGGTTCTAAGACGCCTTGATGAATAAGCTTGTCCAGTTCTTCGTCTACGCGCAGTCATAATGCAAGAGGTACCCGGCGCGGCTTAAGGCGTTTTGGAGGGACCGCAGGATCAAGGCTGAATGATATGGGAGTGCCAGTGTATTTGCCCAACGAATTGGAAAAAACAGACAGGAATTCACGCACCAAGAGGTCTAATTCAGATGATTGGATAGAGTGAATGCCCTGTATAGTAAGGCCCAGGGCAGCGAACCAATTCAGGCTGAGTAAGCTAGGTAATGGGCCATCAACGACTATTAAAGAGAGACGACCCTGAAATTCACGAAAAGTAACTCTGAAGGTACCGGTTCCCACAACCGGAATCAGGGCGCCCTGGTAGTCCTTCAGTAGCAGAGAACAAGGTTTGAGGTGTCGCTTGGCCAGCTTCAGCACTAGACGTTTGATCGTGCTCCACGATACGATGGTTGTGGAGGACCCCGTGTCCACTTCCATGTTGCACGGGCGCCCTTCTATCTGAACTGTCAGAGTAATCTTTGGATTTACCGCTCGCTGGCGTGACGTCACTCGATTGATGGCGGAAAATCCTTGTCGTTGGCGTGCATGCGCGGGTCTCGGGCCGGAACGGCGTGGCGCGTTGTTTTCAGCAGGGGAACGCGAGTTGATCTGCGGCTGCGCCGAGCGACACACCCTGGCAATATGTCCTCGCCGCCCACAGAGCCTACAGACAGCGTCTCTCCAACGGCATGACGCACGAACGTGCTGTCCCCCGCAACTGTAACACCCGGGGAATCCGTCAGTTTTGTTCCTCTCCCTCACTTGCCTAGCCTTAGTCCCTTTAACTTGGCAAACCTCGCCTTCCTCTTCTTCTGAGTCAGAATACCGTTCAATCACAATTTCATTAGCTGAGTTCGCGCCAGTCTCAGAATTGGGAGCGGTCTGGCCACGGGCAATGGATAGGGTAGCTAATTCCGCGGCACATGCCTCCCGTAAAGCCTCCTGAAATGTGAGGTCAGCATTGGCGATCAAACACTGCTTCAAGTTCTTATTGCGCACGCCACTCACGAGGTGGTCTAACAAGTAGTCATCTAGGTTGTCAAATTGGCAGTGACGGGCAGCCCTTCGCAACGCCGCGACATATTGATTAATCGATTCACCTGGGGCTTGGTCGCGGTGATAGAAATGTTGTCTGCGGGCGATTCGGGAGGGTGCAGGTGCATAGTGTCTTTTAAGTTTGGCCAGAAAATCCTCCCACGTACCGGCATGAATTGATTGAGGGGCCATAAGGGTCATAGCTGTGTCGAACATTTCAGGGCCACAAAAACTGAGGAAATATGCCCTCTTCCTCTCAGCCGAGAGATTAGTATAGTCATTGGCAATTAAAAAACACTCAAATCTGGCAATATAAGCATCCCATGTCTCTTTGCCTTGGTCAAATGGGGGAAACATCTGTTGTGCCGCCATGGCCTTATATCTGCTTCGTTTCACTGTTACCTCAGAGGTTACCTCAGGCTGCTGTCCTCGATTGCGTCTCTTCCGCTGGGTCCGCTATCCCACCTTCATCGCCAGTAATAAATACTGTATTCATTTATATTTGACAACTCATGAACGGCTGAGGTAACTCTTTTATTAACTGGAACCGACAACCTAACCAATTAACATATACATGCGAACAAACACCCGAGCCCTTCTTGACAGCTCTTATATACTCCCCTGTCAGCTAGGTCAACCAATCACAACACGTTCCCATATTTATTCGTTCCAACAGGGGGCCTAAACATTAGAGTATGCCCAGTACATAACAGTTTCCTTTTGTGCATGAATTCCTATCTTGTTCCTATCTAGGAACAAGAATTCTCCTGGATCAAATAGAGACCATGTAGTTGCTATTTAAAAACACACTTGAGTGAGTGACATATAGCGAGTTTATTTATTTATTGGGAATTATTATTTTTACCAATAAGGCGGAGAAGACATGCAGCAAAATGAAGGGGAATATTTGGAGCTGAGGGTTGAACTGAGGGGTCTTTGGAGCTCTCTGAGCCCCCCTCCCTTCTAGCCATGAGGAAGGAAGCTACTTTGGGCAATGAAACCTCTGCAAGAAGAGAAGCCCCCAGGAGCCCCTCCCCCTCCTCCCATCCAGCACAGCTTCCTCCTCTCTTCCCCCAACAACAACCCTGTGAGGTGGGCTGGACTGAAAAGGGAGCTGTGCAACCCTTGAACTCAGGGTCTCTTCTTTCTCCCCTCCCAGCCTTCATCCCTGGCTCCCCTTCAGAGGTTGCTACGAGGCCGCAGCCCCAGAAGAGCCCCTGAGCTCCCCCTCCCTCAATACGGGGGCTGCAGAGGGGGGGGAGATCAGCCCCCAAAGTTCAAGGGGAGCCCCGCCCCACTTCCACGTCCTCGGCATCGCGCATGCGCCATCTGGTTGATTGAAGAAAGGCGGACACCGATTGGTCGTTCTGAGGAAGGCGGCGATTGGCAGGGTGACTCCGTGGGGCGGATCCTCTGAAGGAAGAAGCGGAAGATTTGGAGAGAAAATTAAAACGGGCAACGAGGAACCTGCCTGAATCAGCGACTCAGAGGAGCGCGGATGATGCAGGTTGGGCGCAGGGAATGCTGGGAGTTGAAGTCCGGGAGGGTCTCTCCAAAGAAGGCAGGCCTGGGATTCTGAGGCCTAGTCTTGAGGGGAGGGAGGGAGATGGGAGGCTGGGAAGGAGGCCGTGTCCACCTGGAGAATGCCCGGGAGGCCCATGGGAGGTGGGGGGGGGCTTGGGCCTGGGCCTCCCCTGCGGGGAAGAGGATGCAGCTGTGACCCTCTTCTCTCTCTCCCCTGCAGGAGACTGGAGGATGGCGGCGGATGCAGGAAAGAGGTGCCGCCCGAGAGGAGGAGGAGTAGGAGAGTGGGCCCTGCGGAGCAGCCCTGCCCGGTCCTGGCGCCGCTTCCCCGGGAGATGCGGGGAAAGGCTGGGGGGCTCCGAGGCTGCAGGAGGGAGGAGCCCAGGGGCAGCCCAGGAAAGGTGGCTGGATAACAGAAACCTCACATCTTGGCTCTGGATGTTTGCTTCCCTCTGTCTCCTGCCTAGCACCTTTCCAACTAGCATCAGATTGCACCTGAGATAAAAGGGCACCCAAAAGCATATTTCGAAAGCAAGGTTTGCACACAGACACACTGATTGTCATCAATTCATATTCCCAACTTGGCTGCTGATGATTTGGCACACGATCCGGGCCTAAAGAGGCAGAGTCAACCTGACTTTCGGGGGAGGGGTGTCAACCCCTCCCTCCAGCAGCCCCTTGGGGCGTGACCCTGATCCAGACCTTTCCCTTCCTCAGTTCTTGAGCCTGGTTTTCATAGCCGACGTTCAAGCAAAGAAGATGGTTGCCGATCTCGCCCAGTTGGCCCACAGGCCTCTTGGTCAGCAGAAAGTGCCCACCCATTCTGCTTGCCACTCTCGCCTGTGCCATGTTCTCCAGGGGGAGACAGTGCTGGAGGGAGGCATTGCCCCCCACTCTCCCCCCCCCCAGAATGCACCGAGCGCCACGGCCCAGATCTTCAGCTGGGGGCAGCATCCAGAAGTCCCTCCTTCCGCTGGACGCTTGCTCTGGCCTAACTGAAGCTGGGCCTTTGCTGGTGATCTGGGGCTCAATCCTCGGCTTGGTCTTCTTCACCGGAAGCCAGGTCCACCCTCTGCTCATCCATGCGCTTGGCTTGGACCCGCTGGATGAGGCTGAAGGAAATCCTCGTCGGGCACCGTGGGACCACGGGGGATGGAACGGGGCGGGGCACAGCGCTGGTCATCCGGATGGGAGGACTGCAGAAAAGAAGGGTGGATAAAAATCGATGATTTTTTAAAAAAGTAATCTGCAATATTTACATTTTTGGTAAACTCATTCAATGAATCCAAACTCTGCAACCCGAAACAACGTGTACTGCATTGATGCATTTGCGCAATTTCACAGTAGCCATGAGATAAATCATGAAAGAAAGTTTATCCCGTTGTTTTGCAAATCTGTTGTAAGGTCCCAAAATATACTTGAGTCACCAGAATGCCAGAGAGACACTCAAGATGAGGCTTGCAAAAAAAAAGCAGATTTTATTTATGGCCAAAAATACTGGGTGGGACTATATCCGGAACATACAGATACAATGCATGCGAGGAGATAGGCACCCCTTGGGGAAGGTATGGCGTCCTTTTATACCCTCAGAGACATCACCTTAGTACCCAATTCTGGCCTCCTAGTTTAGCTTTGTGTATTCCTTGTTGCCCTGCAAAGGAATAGAAGCCTCCCAATTAGCCTTATCTCTTCCTTTGTTCTCCCAATTGCTCATTTGGCCCCCTGGGCTGCAGGGAACAGATCAAAGGTGTAAGTTAGGGCTGAAGTGTAAATTATCCCTTGGATGATGATGTCTGGAGTTCCAGCTGAGATGCCTACCATGCTCTTAGATGGGAGGAGAAAAACAGGAAGAAGATGGATATTGGTTCAGATCAAATGGCAGGAACAAATGTTTGACAAATACCAGAGACATTACAGAGGCCTAATAACAGAATGTGTTTGTTACAGGAGATACAAATATAAAGGCATAATATATGTGATACAAATACAAATATATGTTTTACAGGAACCTCATGGTTACAGAATCTAGTATTTATTAAATCCTATTGTTTCCCTTCACTATGTTTACTACAAATTGTGTGATTGTTGGAAGAGAAATGCATCTGTACCCTCAGCCTCTAAGTGTGAGGGGGAAGGGCAAGCAGTAAAAATGGAAGCGAAACCTTCTAAGCAGCTTATAAATATAATGTTAAAGAGCACCTGTCATTTCAGATCCATCATGGCAGCAGCGCCTGTTAGCGGGCATCCCCTGCTGCCCACCACATCCATCATCTTCTTGTGTCCCTGTCGCACCACCGGCCGTCCCATTAAAAGTGGGTGAGTCAGCAGCGGGTCAGAGGAGGAGCCACTGTGGGACAAGAGATGACAGTTGCTCTTTAAAAATGTTGATTTAAACCAAGCCTTTTTACTAGTGATTTAAATCGATTTGATTTAAATCAAATCAAACCCACTCTGGCAGAAAAGCGAAGGGAAAGCCTTTCTGTTGTTCAAACTTCATAAGCAATCAGTGTATTTTTTTTTTTAATTTGATTTATATGCCGCCCTTCTCTGGAGACTCAGGGCGGCTTACAAGGCGCTAAGCAATAGCCTTCATACTTTTGTATATTTATACAAAGTCAGCTTATTGCCCCCACAAACTGGATCCTCAATTTACCTACCTTAGAAAGGATGGAAGGCTGAGTCAACCTTGAGCCTGGTGAGATTCGAACCAGCAGTAATTGCAGGCAGCTGTGTTAATGACAGGGTGCTTTAGACCACTGTACTACCAACTATCATTTCATCATTTCTTTACTGACATTGAATGTATGTATCACTTGTTTCTGTACCCTCTTAAAAGGCATTAATAAATGCTTTTGCTTTGCTTGAATTACTTGATCTGTATTTTTTTTTTCATAAAACAAACTTTATTAAACATAAAATGTTAAAATATCATATAATACATACAAATACCCTCTTAAAAACCATGAATGCTTGAATTACTTCATGATCTGTATTTTCAGGTGGGCAAAGAAGCCCCTTTGCAAAGGTAAAAAGTCTCCCAATTCTTTTGGGGGAAAAAATCAAGTTCTTTTCAGCTCCACACCAAACCCTTTGGAGAGTAAGGCATGATTTAAAATGATCAACCATTAGCTAGTTTGTTAGCTAGGAAGTAATGAAACGACCAAGAAACCTCTTTCCCCCCAACAACAACCCTGTGAGGTGGGCTAGACTGAAAGAGGGGCTTGAACTCAGGGCCTCTTGCTTTCTACCCCGGTGCCTTAATCACTGGACCAAAAAGGCTCCCCTTTATAAGCTGCTATAAGGTTGCAGCCCCAGAAAACCCTCTAACCCCCGCCTGCCTCAATACGGGGTGGGGGGGGGCAGAGAAGGCTGGACTTCAAAGTTCAAGGTTAGCCCCCCCCCATCCACGCTCCTCACCGCGCAGGCGCCATCTGGGGGAAATTGAAGGAAGGCGGACGCTGATTGGTCGCCCTGGGGAAGGCAGCGATTACGAGGAGGGCGGATCCTCCAAAGGAAGAAGTGGAACTTGTGGAGAAAAAAGGGAATGAAGCCTCCACTTCCGGAACTAAAACGGGCAACCAGGGAGCCGCCAGAATTGGCGACAGAAAAGCCGGGATGATGCAGGTTGGGCGCAGGGAATGCTGGGAGTTGAAGTCCGGGAGGGTCTCTCCGGAGGCCTGGGAGCCCGAGGCCTAGTCTGATGGGAGGGCGGGGAGGGAGGCCGTGTCGGCCTGGAGAATGCCTGGGAGGCCAATGCGGGGCTTGGGCCTGCGGGGAAGGGGATGCAGCCTTGACCGTCTTCTCTTTCTTCCCTGCAGGAGGACGGAGGATGGCGGCGGATGCAGGAAAGAGGCGCCGCCCAGGAGGAGGAGGAGGAGGAGAGCGGGCCCCGCAGAGCAGCCCTGACCGGTCCCGGCGCGGCTTCCCCAGGAGACAGTGGGGAAAGGCCAGCGGGCTCCGGGGCTGCAGGAGGGAGGAGCCCAGGGGGAGCCCGGGAAAGACGGCTGCCTGGAGGGCGATGCGGGGAGGAGGAAATGGGCGGAGACCCCGAGACGGGCCTGGAGGGCGGAGGCTCCTTCCGAAGACCCCGAAAGCCCCGAAGGATCCAGGAGGAAGCAAAGGAACATCAGTGCCCGGAATGTGGAAAAACCTTCAAAAATAATGAAAATCTGGAAAATCATCTCAGGATCCACTCAAGAAAGAATCCATTTGAATGCACGGAGTGTGGAAAGAGCTTCAATTATAGGAGCAACTTTGATAGACATCTAAGAATCCACACAGGAGAAAAGCCTCATAAATGTCTGGAGGGTGGAGGGTCCTTCGGAAGACGCAAGAATCCGCAAAGGATCCGGATGGGAGGAAAGAAATATCAGTGCCCCGAATGTGAAAAATCCTTCAAAAGAAATGGAGATCTTCAAAGGCATCTAAGGGTTCACTCAGGAGAAAAGAAATACGGATGCCCGGAATGTGAAAAATCCTTCAAAAAAAATAGGGAACTTGAAGACCATCTAAGAATCCACACAGGAGAGAGACCATTTAAATGCTTTGAGTGTGGAAAGAGCTTCCGTCATAGGGGAAACCTTTACAGACATCAAAGGATCCATTTGACAGAGAAACTGAATAAATGCCTGGAGTGTGGAAAGAGCTTCCATCAGAGGGGACATCTTTATAGACATCAAAGGATCCATTTGATAGAGAAACCGAATGAATGCCTGGAGGGCGAAGAATCCTTTGGAAGACCCGGAAATCCCCAAAGGATCCAGGTGGGAAGAAAGAAATATCAGTGCCCCGAATGTGAAAAATCCTTCAAAAGAAATGACCTTCTTAAAAGGCATCTAAGTAGCCACTCAAGAGAAAAGAAATACGAATGCCCAGAATGTGAAAAATTCTTCAAAAGAAAAGACCATCTTCAAAGACATCTAAGGATCCACTCAGGAGAAAAATCTCACAAATGCCTGGAGTGTGGAAGGAGCTTCAGTCAGAGGAGCAGCCTTTATAGACATCAGAGGATCCATTTACAAGAAGAGTATGAATGTGGGGAATGTAAAAAATCCTTCAAAACAATTCAAATCCTTGAAAAACATCTAAGAATCCACAAGCCGAATATATGCCTGGAGTGTGGAAAGAGCTTCAGTCAAAGGGGAAGTCTTGACACCCATCAAAGAATCCACACAGGAGAAAAACCCTACAAATGCCTGGAGTGTGGAAAGAGCTTCACTAATGGTTCAAACCTCTGTCGACATCAAAGAGTCCACACAGGAGAAAAACCACATAAATGCCTCGAATGTGGAAAGTGTTTCAGTACGAGAGGAGCTCTGTACGGACATCAAATAATTCACACAGGAGAAAAACCGCATAAATGTCTGCAGTGTGGAAAGAGCTTCAGTCAGAAAGGAACCCTTGACGGACATCAAAGAATCCACTCAGGAGAAAAACCCTACAAATGCCTGGAGTGTGGAAAGAGCTTTATTGAGCCTAGTAGCCTCCGTCAACACCAAAGAATTCACACAGGAGAAAAACCACATAAATGTCAGCATTGTGCAAAGAGTTTCAGTCGGAGAGGACACCTTAAGAGACATCAAAGAATCCACTCATGGGAGAAACCATATAAATGTCTGGAGTGTGGAAAAAGCTTCAGTCAGAGAGGAAAACTTTCACTGCACCAAACAATCCATTCAGGAGAAAAACCACATAAATGCCTGGAGTGTGGAAAGAGCTATACTCAGCGTCGGGGCCTCCAACAACACCAAATAATTCACGTGGGAGAAAAATTATAAACATGAGTGTGAAAAACCTTCGGTCCCAGAGTGTATCTCAGGAATTGAATTGAATTGCGTATTAAATTTGGCCAAGTGTGAATAGGCACACTAGGAATTTGTCTTAAGCTCTCAGTGTACATACAAAGCATCAGAATAATGATATTCATGATAATTATAATAATTCCAATATGAGGGTGGAATAAAGAAGATATTAAGAAGGGTAAATAATAACTGCCAAATAAGGGACTTTCCCAGGCTGAATAATAAAGGGCTTTTTCAATTGTACATACGAGATGTTTCAACTGGCTGAAATTGTCCCTTTTCACAACAGACTTTCCTGACTCATGATGCCATTTCCCATCTGGACGTTCTTTTAATGCAAGGCTCATTATTGTAATATGGGATGTTAATTTCCATGTCTCTGATGTAACTGTAACTGAGCAATGTGATTTCTTCCAGGGTGGATTTGATTTAAATCACGTTGATTTAAATCACGTCAATTTAAATCATGATATAAATCACTATTAAAAATACTTTATTTATATCAACTTTTAAATCATAATTTTTAAAAAGCAACTGTCATGTCTGTCCCGCAGCAGCTCCTCCTCTGAGCCGCTGTTGACTCGCCGACAGTCCCATTCATTTTCATAGGACGGCTGTGATGCATCAGTGACACAACCAGGTGAGGGACGTGGCTGGCAGCAGGTGAGTGGATGCCCTCTCACAGGCCCTGCCATGATGGATCTGAAATGACAGGTGCTCTTTAATCGTATATTTATAAGCTGCTTAGAAGGTTTCACTTCCATTTTTACTGCTTGCCCTTCCCCCTCACACTTAGAGGCTGAGGGTACAGATGCATTTCTTTCCAAACAATCATACAATTTGTAGTGTATATACAGTATATTTGAAGAAAAATGGGGAAAAGGAATATTCCTGCCCTTTGCTTTATGATTAATCTCATGGTTACTGTGAAATTGTGTGAATACATCAATGCAGTCCATGTTATCTCAGCTTGCAGAGCTTGGATTCATTGAATGAGTTTCCCAGAAATTTAAATATTGCAGAAATATACAGCTTCATGCTACATAACTAAGCTCCATTTCATGCTCAATAAACTAAATTATTAATGCATCTTAAATTTAAAACTACCTTTAGATCGATTATTACATCAAAAGCATTTTATTAAAATGAATTTGATAAAAATAAAAAGATCAATTTCAATAAAAACTATTTTTAAAAAAATTTGAATCAATTTTTCTCCACTGATTTCTTCTAAGCAATCAATTCTTATTTTGTACTTTTTCTACTGTATGGAGTATAAAATGAAACCTGATTCTCTGTCCGGGATTCCTTCTTTTCCTTGAGGGAAATCTCTTAATAAGTTGCCTTTAAATGGTCATCCCACTCAGATCCTAATTGGAGCAAGTGTGCTGTGGCTGAATCTAGGGCTCATTTGACCTTTATTGTTGGGGGTGCAAAGGAGCTTCTCCCTGTCATTGTTTGATATAATCTATGTGGATTTCCCAAGTGTGGGGACCTATTAAGACCATCCCCAGGCATCTGAAGCTGTCAGTTGGATTCCCTGAATGGTCCCCTTCTCTTCCAGCAGAAACTGCTAAAGGGATTCTCTAAGGCCAACGAACCTTTGTGTGATATATAGATAGATAGATAGATAGATAGATAGATAGATAGATAGATAGGTATGTATGTATGTATGTATGTATGTATGTATGTATGTATGTATGTATATAATTATCAAATTTATATACCGCCCATTTCCCGAAGGACTCAGTGCAGCCAAAGTAAAAACATAAATACAAACATTAAAATACAGTTAAATACGTTTGGCCCCAAAGTTAAAAAACAGTAACAAACCCATTAAAAACATTTTAAAAAATGTGTTAAGCCAGCCCGGCTTGCTGAAAAAGAAAGGTCTTAAGGGCACGGCGGAAGGCACCGAGGTCTTGGATTCTTCGTATCTCTGGGGGCAGCTGATTCCAGAGGGCAGGTGCCCCCACAGAAAAGGCCTTTATTTTTAAGAATATGAGCCATATTCTTAAAAATCCCCCACCCTTTTAGCCTTAAAACACCTGGCTTTTCCCCAGGCGCTGGGAGATCAGACAATGAGAAGTTGGCATGGATTGGCGCATGGCTTTTCTTTGTTTTTATTTTCCATGTTTTATATTTCAATGTGTTTTATGGTTTTAAAATGGCTTTTTGAGTGCTGCACAGAGTTGACTGAAAGATGGGCAGCTATAAGAATGTTTTAACTGAAGAAGGCTCATTAGGAACCTGTTTGACCAGGAGTTTCCCAGTTGTCAGGATAGTTAAAAGTCCCTCATTCTTATGCTTTCTGTTAATCAGCTAATCCTTCAACCAGCCAGAGGGTATCTGTGTGTGGCCAAGTCCCTTCCTTGTCCCGCCCTGTGAGGGGGGGGCTCCCTTTGATCTTTGGGGTCCGGCCTTCTCCCCTGCATTCAGGCAGGGGGAGGTTAAGGGGCCTTCTGGGGCTACAACCTGCACATCCGGGGTCCCTCTCTAGGCAAGGCAAGGGGCGGGGGGGGGAGGTCTGGAGGGTCCTCTTTGGAACTGAATCAGCAGCTTGAGCTTCCTGAGTTGGCCCAGCAAGAAAGAACATTCTTGTGCTTTTTTGATGCCGTGTTTGATGTTAGGTGTCTGTTGTAGCGCGGGAATAACGAGAGGCACAAGCAAGCAAGTGACAACAGCTCTTTAATATACAGTGAGACTTCAGCAAAAACTCTGAGGCAGCAGCCCTCCTTATATACAATCCTGGAGAGGCTGTCAGCCAATCAGCAACTAAGGAAAATTTGAAACTCCCGCTGAAATGTAACAATACATAACACCCCTCCCTTCCCAGAAGGCACTGACATTCAAATATTTACATAATTACACACAAAATTTCGCAGGTGACCTGGGCGAGTTCTCGTTCTGGTCGACCTGCGCAGTTCAGTGTTGGGTGGGGCTGGTCAGAGGGACTTACTGTCTCTCCCGGCTCCACCAATCGAACCTCCTGGATTTTGTCTGGGGCGTGGTTATCCATGGCTGGGAGTGTCGACTCGCTGGGGCAGCGCTGGAACCAGGGCTTGTCAGCTAAGTATTGCCTCGAACCCGGGTTTGAGTTAGCTGTTTTGGGAAAGTTGTTGTAGTTAGGTCCGGAGATTTCTAAATTGAGATCGGCCTCACTGACTAACCTCTGATCTATGTAGCGTTTCCAGATTCTGTCTACCCCAACGTCTACTGTGTAAGATTTAGGGCCCGTTATGCCCACTATGGTTCCTGCAACCCACAGAGGTCCGCTAGCATAATTACGAGCGAACACCGGGGACCCGACTTGGAACTGCCTTAGTCCCATGGTCTCTCCCTTAAAATTCTCGTGCGAGTAGTTAGGGTGAAGTCTATCTAAAACGCACCGAAGTTTCCTGCCCATGAGGAGCTCAGCTGGGCTTCTCCCTGTGGCCGTACATGGTGTGGCATGCTGAACTGCCAAAAATTGGTCTATCCTGGCCTGCCAGTCCCCATCATCTAGCCTGGACAATGCTTCCTTGGCCGTTCTTACGAAACGTTCAGCAAGGCCATTAGAAGCCGGATGGAACGGGGCCGATAGGGCATGGCGAATGCCCAGTCCTGCCAGGTAGCTCTCAAATTGAGTCGCTGTAAATTGGGGCCCGTTATCGGATACAAGGGTATCCGGCAGCCCGTGGGTGGCAAATAATTTCCGAAGAGCCTTAATGACTGCTTCGGCTGTGGTTGAAGGCATAAGTATGATTTCGAGCCATTTAGAAAAGGCATCGACTATGATTAAAAATGTTTGCCCGTGGAAGGGCCTGGCAAAGTCAATGTGGATCCTCCCCCATGGTCCCTTTGGTTTCTCCCACTCTTGGAGGGGCGCTATCGGGGGATCGGGGCGAGATTCCTGGCAGGGCCTGCACTTCCCCACCCACTTGGAAATGTCTTGGTCCATGTTGGGCCACCAGACTACAGAGTTGGAAGGGACCTTTGGAGGTCTTCTAGTCCAGAGATCTCCAACCTTGGCAACTTTCTCTGCCTGGGCCTGATGCTTCCTGAGAGGCAGGGGGTCTCTCCGAATGGGACCCCCTCCCCAAAAGGCTGGCCCCAAAGCCCTAGCTCAGAGGCCTTAAAACTTGGCAGCTCTAAGACTTGTGGACTTCAACTCCCAGAATTCTCTACCCAGCATAGCTGGCTGGGGAATTCTGGGAGTTGAAGTCTGCCAGGCTTAAAGTTGCCAAGGCTGGAGATCTCTGGACTAGAAGATAAATGATGGCATAAATGATGACCGGTCAAAAGTGCGAGGACCTATCAGAAATCACTTTTTTCAGCCCTCTGGGTAGTCCCTATGTGCACATGGACTACTCAGAGGGCTGAAAAAGTTATTTTTGACCGGTCCTCTCACTTTTGACCAGTCCTCGAACTTACAACTGTCCTCACGTTTTACATTTTGCGCCCTATCTTGTCACCGTGGTGAAGAGAAGCAGTTGTGAAATGAGTGACATGGTTGTTAAGAAAGCTGCACGGGCATAAATGTGAGGATGGTCATAAGTGTGAGGACCGGTCAAAAGTGCGAGGACCTATCAGAAATCACTTTTTTCAGCCCTCTGGGTAGTCCCTATGCACATAGCCAAGCCCACCCGGTCACATGACCAGCTAGCCAAGCCCACCCAGTCACATGACCAGCTAGCCACACCCACCCAGTCACATGACCAAGCCACACCCCCCAACGAAGCCACGCCCAGAGAACCGGTTGTTAAAAAAATTGAATCCCACCACTGCTTATATGCCTTTGTCCATTTCTTGTGAAGGATTTTTCACATTCCGAGCACTGATATTCCTTTCCTCCCTTCTGGATCCTTTGGGGACTCCCGGGTCTTCCGAAGGAGCCTCTGCCCTCCAGGCCCGCCTCGGGGTCTCCGCCCGTTTCCTCCTCCTCACATCGCCCTCCAGGCAGCTGCTTTTCCCGGGCTCCCCCTGGGCTCATCCCTCCTGCAGCCCCGGAGCCCCCCGGCCTTTCCCCGCCGTCTCCAGGCAGGGCTGCTCTGCGGGGCCCTCTCTCCTCCTCCTCTCGATTGACCCTTCCTTCCTTCCTCCACTGGGCTCCTCCATCCTCCTGCAGGAGAGAAAGAGAGGAGGGTGACGCCTCCATCCCTTCCCCACATCCAAGAAGAGACAGGAAAGCAGAAAGGCAAAGAAGGAAATACGAGAAGGGAAGGAAAAAGAAGGAAAGGGAAGGGAGGGCAGGAGGAAGGAAGGAAGATTATGAGGGAGGGAGGTTCTAAGGGAAATCCTGTTGTAGCACTTGGCCACCACAGGTGCCCACAAGAAGAGTGAAGATGAGCTGGCCACGCCTACCCAGGGACCCCCCCCTCAAACACAACACCCAGTCTCTGCACCTAGTGGGAGGATCAAACAGGTCCCCAAAGAGTCTTCTTCATTTAAAACGTTCTTATAACTGCCCATCTTTCAGTCAACTCTGTGCAGCTCTCAAAAGGGCATTTTTAAAAATATCCAACACATTAAAACATAAAAGAAAAACCATCAAAGAAAATCCTGGGGCCAATCCATGCCACCTTCTCCTTGTCTGACCTCCCAGCGCCTGGGGAAAAGCCAGGGGTTTAAAGGCTAGAAGGGTGGGGGCTTTTTAAGAATATGGCTCATATCTCACAAAGCTTCCTTGGCCTTAGAGAGTCCCTTGTAGGGGTTTCTGCTGGAAGACAAGGGGACCATTCAAGGAATCCAACTGAGAGCTTCAGATGCTTGGAGATGGTCTTAATAGGTCCCCACATTTGGGAAATCCACATATCAAACAATGGCAGGGAGAAGCTCTTTAACACCCCCAACAACGAAGGCCAAATGAGCCCTAGATTCCGCCACAGCACACTTGCTCCAATGAGGATCTGAGTGGGAGGAGCATTCAAAGGCAATTTATTAAGAGTATTGTAACAAAGAGATTTCCCTTAATGAAAAGAGGAATCCAGGACACAGAATCAGGTTTCATTTTATACTCCATACAGTAGAAAAAGTACAAAACAAGAATTGATTGCTTAGAAGAAATCAGTGGATAAAAATCCATTTAATTAAAAAAAAATTTTTTAAACTGAAATAGGGTTTTTTATTTTTATCAAATTCAGTTTAATGAAAAGCTTTTGACATAAAAATCTATTTAAAGAGTTTTATATTTAAGATGCATTAATAATTTAGTTTATTCAGTATGAAATGGAGCTTAGTTATGTAGCATGAAGAAGTATATTTCTGCAATATTTAAATTACTGGGAAACTCATTCAATGAAAAGAGGGAATTCAGGACACAAAGAGCGGCTGATTCCAACTCAGGGTCTCTATTCAGTTCTATGAGGAAATTCACCAGCAGGAACCATTGGCAGGAGATTCGGAGCCTCCAGTCCTCTTTAACTGGAGCTGCTCAGCTTTTGTGCAGGAATTCCTAGTTCTTCTACCTAGGAACAAGAATTGTCCTGGATCAAATAGTTGATGCTGCTGAGAAACACACTTGAGAGAGTCACATGGAGAGAGTATAGTTATTTATTTGCAACCTGCCTTTCTTACTTTTACTGATAAGGTGGAGAACAAATCCAAGAAAATGAAGGGGAATATTTGTAGCTGAGGGTTGCCATGAGGGGCCTCTCTCCCTTCTAGCAAAGATGATGTTAGTTTGGGCAATGAAACATCTGCAAGAAGAGAAGCCCCGAGGAGCCCCTCCCCCCTCACGTCCAGCACAGCTTCCTCCTCTCCTTCCCCAACAACAACCCTGTGAGGTGGGCTGGACTGAAAGAGCGGCTGATTCAAACTCAGGGTCTCCTAAGGTCCCAGAATAGACCCAACTGGCTCCCCTTCATGGACTGGTATAAGGTCGCATCCCCAGAAGAGCTCCTGACCTCCACTGGCCTCAATACGGAGGTGGGGGGAGGGGGAAGACCGGACTCCAACGTTCAAAGGGAGCCCCCCCCCCCGTCCCACCTCCGCCCCGGACCGTAATAACCCGCGGCACCGTGCAGGCACCATCTGGCTTGTTGAAGGAAGGACGCTGATTGGTCGCTCTGGGGATGGCAGCGATTGGCAGGAGGACTCCTTGGGCGGATCCTCCAAAGGAACAGGCGGAACTGGTGGAGAAAAAAAAGCGCGTGAAGCCTCCATTTCCGGAAACAAAAGGGCAACAAGGGAGCTGCTTCAATCTGTGACAGAAGAGCCCGGATGATGCAGGTTTGGCGCAGGGGATGCTGGGAGGGTCTCTTTCGGGTCCACACGGAAGGGGGGCTTGGGCCTGGGCATCCCCTGCAGGGAAGGGGACGTAGCCGTGACCCTCTTCTCTTTCTCCCCTGCAGGAGGACGGAGGATGGCGGCAGATGCAGGAAAGAGGCACCGCCCGAGAGGAGGAGGAGGAGAGCGGGCCCCGTGGAGCAGCCCTGCCCGGTCCTGGCGCGGCTTCCCCAGGAGACGGCGGGGAAAGGCCGGGGGGCTCCGAGGCTGCAGGAGGGAGGAGCCCAGGGGGAGCCCGGGAAAGGCGGCTGCCTGGAGGGCGATGCGGGGAGGAGGAAACGGGCGGAGACCCCGAGACGGGCCTGGAGGGCGGAGGCTCCTTCGGAAGACCCCCAAAGCCCCGAAGGATCCAGGAGGGAGGAAAGAACATCAGTGCCTGGAATGCAACAAATCCTTCAAAAGAAACAGAGATTTTCAAAGGCATGTAAGGATCCACATAGGAGAAAAACCTTATAAGTGCCTGGAGTGTGGAAAGAGCTTCCGTCAGTTGGGAAATCTTTATACACATCAAAGGATCCACTGGAGAGAGAAACCGAATAAATGCCTGGAAGGCGGAGGGTCCTTCGGAAGACACAGGAATCCCCGAAGGATCCAGGAGGAAGAAAAGAAATATCAGTGCCCGGAATGTGAAAAATCCTTCAAAAGAAATGGAGATCTGGAAAGCCATCTAAGGATCCATTCAAGAGAGAAGAAATACGAATGCCCGGAATGTGAAAAATGCTTCAAAACAAATGGACATTTTGAGAACCATCTAAAAAACCACTCAGTTGGAAACCCACATAGATGCTTTGTGTGTGGAAAGAAGTTCAATAAGAGAGGAAATCTTGATCAACATCAAAGGATCCACTCCGGAGAGAAGCCATTCGAATGCCTTGAGTGTGGAAAGAGATTCAATCAGAGGGGAAACTTTTATAAACATCAAAGGATCCACTCAGGAAAGAAGCCAAATAAGTGCCTGGAGGGTGGAGGGATCCACAAGAGAGGAAGGAGGCACAAATGCCCCGAATGTGAAAAATCCTTCCAAAAAAACGGAGATCTTCAAAGGCATCTAAGCATTCACACAGGAGAAAGGAAATATCAGTGCCCGGAATGTGAAAAATCTTTCAAAAGAAACGACCATCTTGAAAGCCATCTAAGAATCCACTCAGGAGAGAAACTGAATAAATGCCTGGAGTGTGGAATGAGCTTCAGTCATAGGAGCAGCCTTTATAGACATCAGAGGATCCATTCCGGAGAAAAACGTTATAAGTGTCTGGAGTGTGGAAAGAGCTTCAGTCATAGCAGCAGTCTTTATACACATCAAAGGATCCATTCAGGGGGGGAACCATATAAATGCCTGGAATGTGGAAAGAGTTTTGGATACAAGAGAAGCCTTAATAGGCATCAAAGAATCCATTCATTAGAGGAACCAGATAAAGTCTTGATGCATGAAAAGACATTCAATCACAGTGGAAACTTTTATAAACATCAAAGAATCCACACAGGAGAAAAACCATATAAATGCCTGGCAGGAAAGGTAATAAAATCCAATTAAAACTTTCACTTTTAATAAATTTAATATATATTTTTCTTTTAATAAATTCCTTTAGTCTTCCAGGGCCATGCCCAGGGTCCCAGGCCTGAGTTGGACTGCTGTCGGTCATTCTGATGGCAACTAGCAGGGCAGGCTGTCCTGGGAGGGGTGGGAGGCCTTGTATGAGTCTGGATGTCCATCTGTCAGTGGTTCAGGAGTGTTGGATTCTCACCTGGGCAGCTGTGGACGAGATCCCTGCCTGATCCCTGTCCAAGGGCTGCAGTTGAGGGCTGCTCCGATTGTTAGACTTTGAAGTTAAAGAATGGAATTCTGAGGCCTGCTCTCAAAAGAATATAGATATGCCCATACATCTGCTACGTACACATTAATCACAGCCCATTTAGATTACATAACAAGAGACTTGGGAGTTCACAAGGTGGATACTTCTTCCTATGGAAGAAAACTGACTGAATCTAATGTGCTGCTTCGGATACCGCAGAGCCTCTTCCCAGCAGTTGTGGAGAGGATGTGTTGTGTCCCAGACAATTCTGCACAACCTGGTCAGGCATCGTTTTAGCTGATTAGAAACCAGTTGAGTTTCTGGGAGGGAAAGTTCTTCAGTGGGATGAGACATTTTATTTTGAATTTGAGAATTCCCATATTTATATCTTCTGAGTTTGCAAAACTTTATTGAACTTTATTGAGGAGAACATCAGGGTAAAGATCAAGAATGGCATTTTCTTTTCCTTGAAAAGCCAAACTGTGTCTAGGAGGACAGTTTGGGGATTGAGTTGAAATGCGAGTGGGAAACGGTGTGGACACTTGAACAATTTTTCTACCAAATTGGGCTAGTTTTGCAGATTTGTTGGAGGAAGAAGTTTGACCTCTGTGGGTTCCAGTTTGGGGGCTATTTTGGTCCATTGAGGGCACCTAGTGTGAAACTTAATTAACCTCACTACCCTAACATCTGGAACAGCCACCCACTCAGGATCTGCTAACGGGTAGCCTTTCCACAGTAATAGTTATAGTTTTTCCTTGTGGAGGGGAAAATCTTTTGGATCTCGTAGTGATTCCAATCTATTGCAGCCCCTTTGAGCAGCCGATCTCCAAGGGGAGCATCTGCCGAAAGGCTCTGGCCATGCAAAACCACTTTGAAAGATCCCTGATGGAACCTGGCTTTCCTCTCATGTGTGCAGGACACAATCTCCAAAAACTCTTTCCAAGGTGGCTTAGCATCCTGGACTCGTGATAGTGAAATGCTTGGGATCCAACAACCATCATATACAAAGAGCTGTTTCTTCTCCTTTGCGATATGTAGGGATTAGCATCCTGCACTGGATACGTTTTGGATAACTTTGAAGATCAGCTCACTGATGACCTATACAACCAGCCTCCCCCTCCCACCATCTCCCTTCCCTCAGCAAGCACAACCCTAGAGCAGAGAAGGCGGAGACTGAGGCAAAGTCTAAGAAAGCATGTTAATTCACAGCAAGTTAAATGGACTGTGTGATGCTGTTGCCTCACATTTTAGGCTTCATCACGAATTTTAAATGACATGTTTAGCCCTTTTAACATGGCAATCTATGCCTCTTTTTTCAGGTTAATGCATTCCTTTCTTGACTCTTTCTTTGGTATATGAGAACGAAAGTTTTCTGAAAGCCTTTGAATACATCTGCAACTTTCAAGAAAGACACAAACCCAGCTACGAAAGTCTAATGTAACCGATAAATTTCTCCCTTCTGGGATATTATCTAGAATCAATGTTTTCTGTCGTTCAGCCTTCACAAGCAATATATTTTATCGTTTCATCTTTTCTTTACTGACACTGAATGTACCATTTGTTTCTTAAAAGACATGAGCCCCCCCCCCTTAATAAATGTTTTTGCTTTGCTTGAATTATTTGACGATCTGTATTTTCAGGTGGGCTTCTCTCAAGTCTCCGGAGAAGGGCAGCATATAAATTAAAGCAAAAAAATAATAATAATAACTACCTGATTAAGGTCGACCTGCCTTGGGTGGAAGGAAAGTTATATGTACCTGCATCCCAACGACTGGATCTTATGAAAAAATGCCACGATTCCAAAACTGCAGAGCATTTTGGCTTTGTAAAAACCCTGCACCTTATCAACAGACAGTTTTGGTGGCCGTCACTCAAAAAGGAGATTGAAAGCTACGTGGCCAACTGCCCTGTTTGCGCTGGAGCAGGGGAAAAGCCTACAAACCCTAGCAGATCCTTCAGCACCCTGGACAGAGATCTCTATGGACTTTATTGTGTAGCTCCCTGGAAAAAAAAGGGGGGGGGATACTGTAATGGATTTATTCGCCAAACAGGAGCACTTTATCCCGTGCCAGAAGATCCCCACTGCCAAAGCCCTGGGGAAAATGTTCCTGGTACACATCTCCCGCCTCCACGGAGCCCCAAAAAGAATAATGTCAGATAGGGGAGTCCAATTCACTTCAAAGTTTTGGCAGGCTTTTTTGAACTAATTAGGCCCCTCCCAGGGCCTTAGCTCCTCCCACCACCCTCAGACTAATGGGGCCACAGAGAACGTTAACAGCATATTGGAACATTATTTAAGATGCTTTATTAATTATCAACTGGACAGACCTCCTGCCATTCACTGAAGTAGCATACAACTCCTCAGTACACACCAGCATAGGGCTTATCCCAGGGGTGAAATGCTCCCGGTTCGGACCGGTTCGGGCGAGTAGGTAGCGATGGTGACGGGCAGTTCGGAGAACCGGTAGCAAAAATCCCCGCCCCCGCCCCCCATGCCCAGCTGAGCCGCACGATCATCAGAGGCTTTTTTTCTTTTAAATGGCTCTGACGATCCAAGCTCTAACGATCCCAGCTGCGTTGCCTGTTTTTTTGAAAACCCTCTGACGATCAGGCAACTCAGCTGGGATCGTCCGAGCCTTTTGAAAGCATTTTTTACATGGTTTTACATGTAAAAAATGGTTTTAAAAGTTAAAAAAAAAATGGCCACACCCACCCAGTCACATTACCCCCCAAGCCACGCCCACAGAACCAGTCGTAACAAATTGTAGATTTCACCACTGGTTTACCCCTTTTCAACTGGTCACGGGCCAGCAATTCAACTCCATGCCTGAGCTGCCCTCAGAGAACCCGAAAATCCCCTCCCTTAAGGAATGGATCAAGAATCTACAATAGAGGTCTTTAAACTTGGCAGCTTTAAGACTTGTGGACTTCAACTCCCAGAATTCTCCAGCCAACATAGCATAGCTATGTTGAAGTCCACAAGTCTTAAAGCTGCCAAGTTTGGGGACCCCGATCTACAAGATACATGGCCAGTTTTCAGATTGGCTCCACAAGAGACTCGGGCAGCTTTCAAGGCCCAAGCAGACAAAAAGAGGGCAGAACAAAAACCATTCAAAGTGGGAGATAAAAGTTTACCTCCCCACCAAATTTTTACAGTCACTTCAACCCTCAAAGAGACGGGGGCTAAAGTTCATAGGCCCTTTCCCCATCACAAGGATTATAAATCCAGTCACCGTGGAACGACTCCCACCCAAAACACTTAGACAGGTTCACCCCATTTTTCACTGTAGCCTATTGAAATCGGAGGTGACCTCCACCCTCTGACCACCTGCACCCACACCAGTGGATTCTGACAGGTTCTAGAGGACCTGTAGCGGAAATTTTGAGCAGTTCGGAAAACTGGCAAATACTACCTCTGCCTGGCCCCAGAGTGGGGTGGGAATGGAGATTTTGCAGTATTCTTTCCCTTGGAGTGGGGTGGGAATGGGGATTTTGCAATATCCTTCCCCCTGGAGTGGGGTAGGAATGGGATTTTTGCAATATCCTTCCCCCTGGAGTGGGGTAGGAATGGGGATTTTGCAGTATTCTTCCCCAGGAGTGGGATGGGAATGGGGATTTTGTAGTATCCTTCCCCCAGGAGTGGGGAGGGAATGGGGATTTTGCAGTATCCTTCCCCTGCCACGCCCACCAAACCACATCCTGCCCACCAAGCCACGCCCACAGAACCGATAGTAAAAAAAATTGGATTTCGCCACTGACCCACACCCCCAATCCCCATGATGATAGAAGGCAAACAATACTTTGAAATCAAAGAACTTCTCAATTCACGCACACACCATGTGTCCACCCAGTACCTAGTGGGATGGGGAGACCTCCCAGGCTCCCAAAATGAATAGGTGGCCAAAAGACACGTTAAGGCTCCTACGCTGTTAAGGAAATTCCACTTGAAATGCCCATCTTAACCCTCCTCATTCTTCATTGTGTTTTCTATTTTCCAGGTGGACTATCCTTTTTTTTTTCTAAGGAGGGCGATACGTCAGATCCGTGAATCCGCCATTCTTCAGGGGAAGAATACTTCCTTTCGACTTTTCTATCCTTCTTTCTTATATATCCTGTAACATGTAATTAATTGCTTTATAATTTCTAGCGTGGCGCCTAGAGGCTTGGCACTTTCTCACCTTTCGGGGAATAGATGGAGAGGGAGGGCCATGTGGATTCCATCACTCGGGAAACGAGCCCAAGAAAGTCTTATCACTTTCCCATAACGTCCCTTACAAAAAACATCTTCACACCTTTGGATTGGCTAAATCCACATCAGATGGTTGGGAGGGGATTCTAACTTCTTTTATTCCTATTGTATTGCCTTAAGGACCCCAGATCCTGCTTTGCTTTCGCCCAACTATCACTTCTTTCTCAATAAAAGGATCCTTTTGAAATGCAAAATTTCAAGAGTCTTTACTTCCTTGATTAAGGGGGAGAGGCCTGGCTTTACAGGTAGCCCAAGGGTGGGTGGGTGTGAAGGGAACTTGCAAATGTGCTGGCAGATAAGCAGGTGTGTTGCTTTGCCAGCCGGCTGCAAGAATAAGAGAAAATGAGGGAGGTGGAGGGCCATATCGCAGGGCACACTGGCCCAAGCAGCAGCTGCAACAGGAGCCTCTCCAAAGAGGGTGTGTGGGAGGAAAATATATACACACACGTCTCAACTTCGGCATCAGGTTTCCAAGCGCTCAAAAAAGATTGCAAAATCCAAATATGAAGGGGGCAGTATTGGAGGGGATTTTCCCCCTCTGCTGTAGTTTTCCAAAGGTCCTTCAGAAAGGAGGAGCAAAGAGAAAGGAGAAGCTGGATCCAGGGAGGGAGGGGCTGTTAAGGCAGCTAGAGGTGGGGAGGGGCCGGCTGACTCAACCCTGCTTACTGTCTCTGGGACGTATTTTGCAGTTATCGCTCATGAGTTTGATATATTGCCCCCAAACTGTACAGGTAGTACTAGATATTTACAGGTAGTACTTGGCAAGAAATGGCAGTGTTGATTTTTATTTTACCCTGACATTAGACTCAAGTTCCTTCAAATGTTGCAAAGTCAGAAGATATAAATGATATATAGATCTGCAGTATATATATATAGAGCCTTGGTGGTGCAGTGGACTAAAGTGCTGTTAAGTAGCACCAGCTGCCTGCAATTACTGCGAGTTCAAATCTCACCAGGCTCAAGGTTGACTCAGCCTTCCATCCTTCCGAGGTGGGTAAAATGAGGACCCGGTTTGTGGGGGCAATAAGCTGACTTTGTATAAAAAAGAACACCGCTTTGGGGGGGGCGAAAGCCCTACTAAGCGGGTATATACAAAAGTATGAAGGCTCTTGCTTAACGCATTGTAAGCCGCCCTGAGTTTCTGGAGAAGGGCGGCATATAAATCGAACCAATAAATAAATAAATAAATATACATGGCCCCCATCCCCCAAACTGGCCACCCCCCTTAGCCCCCAGGCTTCGGCTTCTCAGACCCCCAGAACTGAATACCTTATTTCAAGTGTGGGGAATGTATGACATTTATACAAGCACTCTGTGAAGTTTCCGAAAGATGCCCTAATTGATTCATGAGCCATGAGCCAAATTTGAAAATAAATACAGTCATTTATTAGGAGCACCATTTCGGCAATATTCGGATGCAGTTAGAACTAATTTTAATTTTATATTGTCTTTTAATGAGGAACTGTGCATTTTTATCGTTGTGAGCCGCCCTGAGTCCTTGGAGATAGGGCGGCATATAAACTGCATTATAAATAAATAAATAAATAATCCCACGTAGATTTACGTTCCCCTATGACCCTGTCTCTCCCCTCCTCCCTGGCCATGTCATAAATCACACTCTCCAATTAACCACTTTGGCTGGCTGTGAAACCGAACACCCTCCTACTGATTTCGGTAAGAAAGCATCTATGGAATGTAGCTTCAGTTAGGGAAATCAATCAGCTCTATCAGTTCTCCCTTCCCTCCTGCTCATGGCAACTTGAAAGCTTTGCAAGTTGACACACACGCTTTAATAAAAGCAGACAATAACAGAAGCCAATAAAGATTCTACCAGCTGCTCCGAATGCAGCATATTCCCACTTGTCTGGAACTGTAGAAGGCCTACTTGTAGAAGCAAGAAGCTTCTTCATTTCTGACTGGAGATACATGTACAATTAGCACAGGAGCCCCCCAGGGCTGTGTGCTCTCTCCACTTCTCTCTCTACACCAATGGCTGCATCTCAAAAGATAAAGTACTGAAGCTTGCAGATGACACAACAGTGACTGGTCTCATTCGAGACAACGATGAATCTGCATAGAGGTTGAACAACTAGCCTTGTGGTGCAACCAGAACAATCTTGAACTAAATACACTCAAAACCGTAGAAATGGTGGTAGATTTTAGGAGAAACCCTCCTATACTTCCCACCCCTTACAATACTAGACAAGACAGTATCAACAGTAGAGACCTTCAAATTTCTAGGTTCTATTGTATCTCAACTTAAAATGGACACTGTTATGTATTGTTACATTTCAGCGGGAGTTTCAAATTTGCCTTAGTTGCTGATTGGCTGACAGCCTCTCCAGGATTGTATATAAGGAGGGCTGCTGCCTCAGAGTTTTTGCTGAAGTCTCACTGTATATTAAAGAGCTGTTGTCACTTGCTTGCTTGTGCCTCTCGTTATTCCCGCACTACAACATTGGCGACGAAGGTGGGATTGAGGCCACAAGAAGCAAACCAGTGAGACCACGAGCTTCAGCTAGGCGACGAGGCAAACAACAGGAGGCATACCAAACATGTCCACCTACGTTCCGCCCAAGCCTTTTGATCCGGCCCGCGAGAAATGGGTCTCATACCTAACGAGGTTTGAGTGCTCACTCGAAGCCAGCGACATGCAAGGACTCTCCGCAAATCGGAAGAGAGCCCTTTTCCTAAACCACTGCGGACCGGATGTGTTCGAGATGGCGGAGTCACTTTGTGAGCCAACGCCGGTCCAGACCGTCCCCTGGGACACATTGATGGCAACCCTTCGGGCTCACTACGCTCCAATGCCCTCCAAGTTCGTGCAGCGATACGAATTCAGACAACGCGTGCAACGAGAGGGAGAACCGGTCAGCGCTTACATGGCGAGCCTGCGTAAAGCCGCAATGCATTGCGACTATAGAGACTTGGACGATGCGCTGCTCGAACAGCTAATTTGCGGTGTCTGAGACACAAGACTGCAAAGGCGACTGCTCGCTAAGCCTGACTTAACACTTGTTGGAGCCCTAGACGAGGCCAGGGCTCATGAAGCCTCCACGAAAGCCGCAGAAGCATTGCAGCGCCCACTGATCAGCAAGGACACCCCCAAGTCTACACCAGTGCATAGGGAAGATGCCAGATCCAGCTCGGAATCCGAGTCCGATGAGGACGTCTTCTGCACAGAGCACCAAAAGAAAGACGCAGGCAGCCCCCGGCGAAGCTGCCCCAGCTGTGGCGGAAATCACGATAGACTGTCCTGCAAATACAGAGATGCCATTTGCAGGCGTTGCGAGAAGAAAGGGCACTTGGCGCGAGTCTGCAGAGCCATACTGCCCAGAAAACACCAACCACATGACCACCACAGCCAACCAGAATCAACGCGCCAGAAACAACCAATCAAAGAGGGCGGCGCTAGAAACCGGCGCGAAATTGAACCGCGAGATGCCCGCAGCATACACGTCGACCAGGCCAGCACGGTGATCGAAGACAAGGTCTGCACGGTGGTCGAAATTAATGGCAAACCATGTACAATGGAAATTGACACCGGATTAGCCCTTTCCATAATGTCATGGGCAACCCTGAAGACCATTCTGCCATCGTTCCAGAAGGACCAGCTATCCAGACAAAGAGTGCGCATCCTAGACTACCAGAAAACCGGGTTCCCGTCGAAGGCGTAGGCACGTTCTGAATCACCTACGGAGACTTCGAAAAAGACCTGCCGCTAACCATCGTTACCAAGCAGCTGCCCAGCCTTCTGGGCATGGGGTGGTTCCGAGCCCTTGGCATGGGTTTCACCGGCGTCCACCGAATGCTCGAACTGTCATTGAAGGACAGCCTCCTGAACGAGTTCCAGGACGTCTTCGGAGACACGTTGGGCAAGTATGTGGGAACCCCTATCTCCCTAAATCTAGACCCCAACGTGGCCCAAATAAGACTAAAAGCTAGACGGGTGCCCTTAGCATTGAAGCCAAAGATCGATGCAGAACTGGACAAATTAATTAAACAAGGGGTGTTGGTTCCCATTGACCACGCAAAGTGGGAGACCCCCATAGTGACCCCAGTTAAATCTGATGGCTCAATCAGAATTTGCGCCGACTACAAGTGCACGATCAACAAGGCTTTGCAGCCGAGCGCCTACCCGGTGCCGATCATGCACCATCTACTACACTCCCTGGGGCCCAGAAATTTTTTTGCCAAATTAGACCTAGCACAGGCCTATCAACAATTACCCATTGACGACGCCACGGCAGAGGTGCAAACAATTGTGACTCACAGGGGTACATTCAAATGCACCAGGCTCCAATTCGGGGTGAGCGTCGCACCTGGCTTATTTCAGAGCACCATGGAGCGCCTGTTGCAGGGACTCCCGGGGGTGGTGCCCTATTTTGACGACGTGTTAATCAGGCTCATTTGGCCCCCTGGGCTGCAGGGAACAGATCAAAGGTGTAAGTTAGGGCTGAAGTGTAAATTATCCCTCGGATGATGATGTCTGCAGTTCCAGCTGAGATGCCTACCATGCTCTTAGATGGCACAAGAAAAACAGGAAGAATGCAGAATATTCTTAAAAAGAGACTGAAATTTACTCCACAGTTGTTCTTATTGGGTATAACTACGGACTGTACAGTTGCAGAGACTAAACTGGGGAAATTGTGTTTGTTTTAAAACTTTTTCAAGAAAAAAAAAGAAAATCAGGAAGAAGATGGATATGGGTTCAGATCAAATGGCAGGAACAAATGTTTGACAAATACCAGAGACATTACAGAGGCCTAATAACAGAATGTGTTTGTTACAGGAGATACATAAAGGCATAATATATGTGATTCAAATGCAAAGACATATATGTATTACAGGAACCTCATGGTTACAGAATCTGGTATACCAGTATGTCATATTCTAGTATTCTTTATTATATTATTATATTATTTATTATATCCTGTTTCCCTTCAAAGCTATGCAATATTTTGTTTTGGTAGAACTCGTTCAAGGGAGACAGGATTTTGTTCTGGATTGCTGTATTACTTTAGGATTCAGGAAAAGGTGTCTCACCTAAGCAGAAATAATGGAGGGAGCTCACCTGGGATGATGGAAAAAAGCACAAAACAACATGACAACACAAAGGGTGTGATGGGAAGTTTATCCAGAGCTACATTAATGAGTGGAGCTTCTGTGTCATCATATTCAACATGTATCATCATTTTCTTAATACATAATTATCTTTCTTCTTACATTTGAATTTAATGTATTGTGAATTTAATGTATGAAATAAATATATTTCCCCCATATTTCTTATTTTTACATTGCCTATTGTCTCTATCCATTGATAAATTTTCCCCCATATGCTGTACACTCCGATTCTTCCTTCCCACTAATTGCTAATATTAATCTACTCATTTCTGCACATTCTAATATTTTCTTAATTAGCTCTCCCTTTGTAGGAATTTTTTCTGCTTCCCAATTTTGTGCAGATACCATTCTTGCTGCCTTTATTACATGTATAATCCAATATGTATTTTCTCTACTAAATTTTTCCGGTAAGATACCCAACAGGAACAGCTCCGGTTTAAGTTCGATGTGCTGCTGTATCAGTTTTTGTGATTATTGTGATTATTGTGCCCAATAATTTCTTGCTTCTGGACATGTCCACCACATGTGATAGTACGATCCCGATGTCTGGTGGCATTTCCAACATTAAGCTGATTTATCTTTGAACATTTTTTCCAATCTATTTCCGGTGACATGTGCCAACTATAAAACATGTAACCGGAAAGATTGGCAAAAATGTTCAAAGATAAACTTTGTTTAAATTTTTAAATGAATGTTGTACCAAGATGTTACACTGATTAATGATGAATTGTTTGTTTTAAAAAAAATATTTTTTTTCTCAAAAAAAAAAAGAGAGAGAGAGTGGAGCTTCCCTTGAGAGAGGCAGTCTACATCCAACAGTCTGCCTTTTGTGCCAAAATAGGAGAACTGGGCAGCTTGAGTGATTGGTTTGGTCGCCTCCTTCAGACATTTGCCTGGCACTGGTGGGTGTGGAAAAGGCGGAGCAGGTGAGCCTTGGGAGGAGGCCGAGGGAGGCCTGCCATCTCTGAGGGAATTCTGAGGGCTTCATGACCTCACCCATGCAGGCTCAACTGCCAGTTACTGTCAGTTATCAGAGTGAAGGTGCCTTCCAAGAGGTGGGTTGGTTTCTGAAGGGCTCCTGGACTCTGGGAAATCTTCCCTCTATTTGCAGCCAATTTACCAGAGTTGTATTGCAAGGGTGAAAATGCCCATTTGGCCTCTTACCTGCCTGGGTGCCCCTCCAACCTCCCCCCCCCACCTTGCCTAGGAAGGGAGCCTGGAAGGGGTGGGGGAGTCCCAGTCCCAGAAGAGTCCCTCAACCACTGCCTGTCAGAATGCGGGAGGGGCCCCCCAAAGGAGAGACCGGACCCCAAAGATCAAAGGGAGGGCCCCCCCGTCTCACCTCTACGCGGGACTCGGGACTTGTGCAGGCGCCCTCTGGCTGCTTGAAGGAAGGCGGACGCCGATTTAGCTGATGAAGAGAAAGCCTAGTAATGGGGGACTTTATTCTGACAACTGGGGGACACCCAGTCTCTGCACCTAGTGGGGGATCAAAGAGGTCCCCAATGAGTCATTTAAAACATTCTTTTAGCTGCCCATCATTCAGTCAACTCACTGCAGCTCCCCAAAAGCTGTTTTAAAAACAATACAACACATTAAAACATGGAAAATGAAAACAAAGAAAAGCCAGGCGCCAATCCATGCCAACTTCTCCTTGTCTGATCTCCCAGCGCCTGGGGAAAAGCCGGGTGTTGAAGGCTGAAAGGCTGGAGGCCCTTTGAGAATCTGGCTCGTATCTCACAAAGCTTCCTTGGCCTTAGAGAGTCCCTTTAGCAGTTTCTGCTGGAAGACAAGGGGACCGTTGAGAGAATCCAATTGACAAGAGTTTCTGGTGTCTGGGGAGGGTCTTACATGGTATGGACAGTTCACACCCCAACAATGGAGGCCAAATAGCCCTAGATTCAGCCACAGCACACTTGCTTCACTTAGGCACTGAGTGGGATGACTATTTAAAGGCAACTTATTAGAATATTGTGGCAAAGAGATTTCCCTTAATGAAAAGAGGGAATCTAGGACACAGAATCGGGTTTCTTTTTATACTCCACACAATAGAAAAAGTTGGGATATTCGAATAGAATAGAATAGAATTTTTTATTGGCCAAGTGTGATTGGACACACAAGGAATTTATCTTGGTGCATATGCTCTCAGTGTACATAAAAGAAAAGATATGTTCATCAAGAATCATAAAGATAATTTTCCATTTAAGATACATTAATAATGTAGTTTATTCAGGTTGAAATGGAGCTTAGTTGTGTAGCATGAAGCTGTATATTCTGCAATATTTACATTTCTGCTAAACTCATTCAATGAATCCAAGCACCGCAAGCTGAAATAACATGCACTGCATTGATACATCCACAGAGTTTCACAGTAACCATGAGATAACTCATAAAGCAAGGGCAGAAATATTCCTTTTTCCCATTTTTCTTCAAATATACTGTATGTAGACTACAAACTGTATGATTGTTTGAAGAGAAATGCATCTGTGCCCTCAGCCTCTAAATGTGAGGGGGAAGGGCAAGCAGTAAAAATGGAAGTGAAACCTTCTAAGCAGCTTATAAATATAACATTAAAGAGCACCTGTCATTTCAGATTCATCATGGCAGGGACAATAGAAAAAGTCCTTTATTATTCAGCCTGAGAAAGTCCCTTATTTGGCAGTTATTATTAACCCTTCTTTACTCAATTGAAAAAAAGATAAATAAATAATTCCTCTTATTCGAATTGTTATCATTATATCATTATTCTGATGTTTTGTACATACACTGAGAGCTTGTGTACCCGAGAAAAATTCCTTGTGTGTCTATTCGCAGTTGGCGAAATTAAAAGTTCAATTCAGTTCAATTCCTGAGATACAGTCTGGGTCCGAGTCAGATGACTATTTAAAGGCAATTTATTAGAATATTGTAGCAAAGAGATTTCCCTTAATGAAAAGATGGAATCCAGGACCCAGAATCAGGTTTCATTTTATACTCCATACAGTAGAAAAAAAAATACAAAACAAGAGCTGATTGCATGGAAGAAATCACTCTGCTCAAGTTACACTTACATCAGAGACATGGACAGTAACATCCCATAATATTAAGCATAACCATTAAAAGGACATTCACATGGGAAATGGGCATGTCTCTTGTGAAAAGGTACAATTTAGACCAGTTGAAAAATTTAGCATGTACAATTGAAACAGTCCTTTATTATTCAGCCTGAAAGTCCCTTATTTGGCAGTTATTATTTACCCTTATTGTATTTTTAACACATTTGGAGTAAAGAGCAATAATTTCTCTTATTGGAATTATTATAATGATCATGAATATGCACTAGGTGAATTCCTAGGGTGTCTATTCACACTTGGCCAAATTAAATATACACTCAGTCTTCTCACACTCAGGTGTTTTTTTTTTTTCTCCCACGTGAATTCTTTGGTGTCGATTGAGGCTACTACGCCCAGTATAGCTTTTTCCACACTCCAGTCATTTATGAGGTTTTTCTCCTGAGTGGATCCTTTGATGTTTATAAAAATATCTCCTCTGACTGAAGCTCTTTCCACACTCCAGGCACTTATGAGGTTTTTCTCCTGAGTGGATCCTTTGATGTTTATAAAGATCTCCCGTCTGACTGAAGCTCTTTCCACACTCCAGGCATTTATGAGGTTTCTCTCCTGTGTGGATCCTTTGATGTGCATAAAGGTTTCCCCTTTGACTGACGCTCTTTCCACACTCCAGGCATTTATGAGGTTTTTCTCCTGAGTGGATGCTAAGATGCCTTTGAAGATGGTCGTTACTTTTGAAGGATTTTCCACATTCCAGGCACTGATGTTCCTTTCGAAAAGGTCCTTGCTTATATGGGGAGTTAGCCTGCAATTAACTAGGGTGGGGAAGGCTTGCAGGTAATTACAAACAGGAGATGGCTTGATTGAAACCATACTGTTTGTGAGTAGGCAAGTAGCCACAGCAATCCTGGGAACACTCGTGACAATCCCCTTCTCTGCGGCTATTTGACTCATTAACAAACATACATTCTACATTGGGTACATGTACACATCAATGGTAAGTACATTCACATAGCCATCGACATTTTACCCAGAAGATAGAGGTGTTGGTCACGGGGCAGCGGTTTGGTAAACACGTCCGCTACCTGTTCTTTGGTTTCACAATACACAGTCTTAATGAAACCTGTTTTCACCAATTGCCTCACATGTTTGTTTTGTATATCAATATGGCGCGATCTCTGGCTTACAGCATCGGCTTCCGATATGTTAATGGCAGCCATGTTGTCCTCATAGACTTTTATAGGTTGCATGGGCTGCCTCCATAAGTTTACCAGAAGATCGTCAAACCAAACTAGGTTATTGGAAGCTTTGGACAAACTCACATACTCAGCTTCCGCTGTGGAGGTTGCAGTTAGCTCCTGCTTCCCAGAGTACCAATACACGGGGCTACTATTTAGGTATACAATATACCCCGAGGTACTTTTTCTAGATCTAACATCCCCTGCCCAATTGGCGTCCGAAAAACAACTCAATCTTAATTCTCTAGTTGCTTCTGGTTCCAATAACAATGAATAGTTCACAGTACCCTTTAAGTATCTCAGGAGTCGTTTGATTCCGCTCCAATGGTACTGTGTGGGATGTTCAGAATGTCTAGATAACACATTTACACTTAGACTGATGTCCAGTCTAGTCCAATTTGCAATGTACAACAATGACCCAATCACGGACTTGTAAAGGGTCTTATCCTCAAACTCCGTGCTCTCAGTGTACATATTCTTAAGGAAGTCTGTTGCCATAGGGATATCGCATGGCTTCGCCTCTACCATGCTACACTTTTTAAGCAATTCCTGAATTTTATCTTCCTGAGAGAGCCGAAACCCCTTCTCGGTTTTTACGAATTGCACCCCTAAAAATTTGCTAATGTGACCTAATGGTTTTAAGGCGAAACTCTTACTTAGGTCCTCAGAGAACTTCTTATGCCTGTTCTCTGATCTGCAAATATATAGGATGTCATCAACGTACAACAGTACCGTTTCCCTAATGCCCTGATCTTCCTTGACAAAAACACACTCGTCAGCCGACGATGGTAAAAAGCCCATCTCTCTCAGGCTTTTAGTGAGACACTCGTACCATCGTTTACCAGATTGTTTTAAGCCGTATAGGCTCTTGTTCAACAACCACACATCGTCTTCCCGATGGCTTACTCCCTGAGGAATCCTCACGTACAGCTCTTTGTCTAACTGGGCGTGCAGGTACGCGGTCTGAATATCGAACTGATATACATGTTCGCCTCTCATGGTAGCGATAGAGAGAGCTGTTCTCACGCTCTCAGGGCGCACCGTGGGCGAGAAGGTGTCCTCATAATCGTCAGGGAATCTCTGTGAGAATCCCTGCGCTACTAGTCTCGCTTTATAGACAAAGCCCCCACCTTCAATGGGCTTTTGCTTGAAAAGCCACCTGGTGCCAATCACCCTCTTGTCTTTGGGCAATCTTGTTGGCGTGAATACGTCCAGCCTTTTCAGGCTGTCTAATTCCGTATCCATGGCGGCCAGCCACTTCTGTCGTTCATGGTCAGGTAAGGCCAACTCATCCTCATATCTCTGAGGGGTGGCCAAAACCTGGTCGACTGAGGTAACAAAGTTGTCGTACCTCTTAGGCTTATTGCCTCTAGTAGCCCTAACTGGTCTGCCTCTGGGCGTGTCACTGACATCAGAGTCGTCCGATGAGTCATCTACCTCGTGACTATCACTATGCGTCTCAGAAGCTGGGTGCCTATCCTTCCTGGCTACCCCCATCTTACGCTTCAATATTCCTTTCAAGGATGCCTGGGATGCACGTCTTCTGCACCACGCTAGACCACACTCGGTTCAAGGTGTAGTTCGCGTATCTAATTGCTTCTACCCAATATGCGAAGTTTAATCCGGAATCTTCTAGGGCGCACCGCATCATTGTTTGTAATACGTCGCTGCGCTGTTCTGCAACGCCATTTTGAAACTTAGAGTAAGGCGCGGTGCATAAGTGGACTATGCCCTTATTCCTCAACCAGCTGGAGAACTGCCTGGAAT